TATAATCATTTATAAATATTAGTATACTCATTTATAAGTACAATCAGTATATAAAGGAAGGAAGGAGTTATTTCAGCTTTCTTAATGGCCAGCAGAAGACAAGGGGCATATGAGGACATATGACTTTTGATATTTTACCCTCAGTATCCAGTAACTTCCTTGTAGAAACACTGTCCATGCTCATCGTTCGCCGCCCTGAGATTAGCAAGAAATCTACACGAAAACGCATGTTTTAAGACATCTTGCGTCTCATGGCTGCATGAGCTTATGGGATCTTTCACACTTTCCTCCCAATCCTCTGACCTAATCTGCATTAGAATATTTTCATACTTCAGCATAGGCATGCAGCTGCATGTCGTCGAATTTCGGATACATTAACAACACAGCTTTTAACTTTACAAATACGACACCTTTGATTTTACCATCACCTTCCCTGAAATTTGCTTCTTTGTTACCTTATTTATTCGATTTGTATTTACCGTTTTAAACCGAGAACGTATAGATGTAATTTATCCACCATTTCATAGGGAAAACAACGGTAGCCCACCTGTTAGGTGCCTCAATAATAAACAGACAACCGTTAGTAGTGGCCAACGACTATAAAAGGCTAGAATCCATCATCGGGGAGGGATATGATCTGCATTTTACACTCAAATCATAAGTGATTGCGAATGTATCAGGGGAATTTAAAAAAAATTAGAGAACTCTTGAATTAATTCAGAATTAAATTGTGAAAAAAATTAATAGAATTAATTGAATTAGATGTTATACCTTACTTAAAATACTATTAAGCAATTAATCAGCAACTTTTAGCTTAACATACGTATGGAGCGGTATTATTTTTCGAGAGCCATAAATGCTCTGTTGATGATATTAAGCCTTGCGAAGAATAGCGACGCTCGTTTTGGTCAAAGCTTTTATATGCAACAGTTTTTCCCTTCTCTGTTGTACTTTTCACAAAGACAAGAGCATACTATGAGTTGACATTTATAGAGAATAGCAATTATTTTCAAACTAAAACGACTTAAGTGTATTGACAAAAGTTTCAGGAGGGCAGATTTTCATAGATTACTTTCATAGTAACTGCATATTTGCCGCCCAGACGGAAAAGTGGTTAGTGATTCTGAATGCCATACCGAACGGCCCGGGTTTGAATCCCGGAGAACGTATAGATGTAATTTATCCACCATTTCATAGGGAAAACAACGGTAGCCCACCTGTTAGGTGCCTCAATAACAAACAGACAACCGTTAGTAGTGGCCAACGACTATAAAAGGCTAGAATCCATCATCGGGGAGGGGATATGATCTGCATTATTTACACTCAAATCATAAGTGATTGCGAATGTATCAGGGGAATTTAAAAAAAATTAGAGAACTCTTGAATTAATTCAGAATTAAATTGTGAAAAAAATTAATAGAATTAATTGAATTAGATGTTATACCTTACTTAAAATTCGAAGAACTTTGCACTTTGCACCACTGAGAGGGCTTCCGACCTAAGGTGATAGATACCTAATGGAAATAGCCCACCTAGTGGAAATAATTTATTGAATAGAAAATTTTTACAGAGTCTTTACAACGAATATTTTTGAATGACAGTGATATTTTTCATTACTTTTACATGACAGTGAAAATTATTTACAGTCGTTTTTGCATTTGCATGCTACGGTAGTTCAATGTTTCAGATGATCAATGTGACAAAAATTCAAAGAACTGCTGCTTTGGACATCAGGCAGGTGATATGATGACAAAAAGTGTAAGTGTCTCTTTGTTCATACTTTCGTTTGATACTGCAAGTCCAGTTTATAATTACAGTTCATTAAAAAGTGGAAATAGAGTATAAAGGTGGAAATAAGAATGAGAAGAGATCCTTTACGCGTTTTTGCATTTAAAAAAGAAAGCTTTAAGTTGGTATTTTTCTTGACTAACGAAAACGCCAAAGAGGATTTTCGCTTCGTTAAAATTACAGTACAGGAAAAGATAAAATATTGTTAGTGTTTGTTTATACAATGATTCTTGAAAGTGTATATATTTGATTAATAAAGAAAGAAAAAAGGTATGAAAGGCAACCATACAGAATCTCTCGATTGTCTGCGGAAACGTTACGAGAAAAAACAATATGTATCAATATTAGCAATCCAGCGTAGTCTTAACTGAGCTTTTCATATTACTATCAACAGCTGACAGCATGGCAAAATTCGACTTTCGATATTGAGGCAGGGAAGCAAAGTAATCATGCACACAATGATCTTATGGATATAAATGACGATAAGATATCAATAGATGATCTTAATTTCCCTTTCTCACACCCAGAAGCACCTGTATCAATCATTGCCGGATATCCGGCTTCTCAATGCATCACTGTAATTGGTGCCGCCCGGTAAATCTTCCTATCTTTCTAGGTTTGGAAGAAGAAACTACTCTGCAGATATGTTTTTTCTATTTCTCTATACAAACTTTGTATTTATTGTTTATTTCTATTTATATGAAATGTGTATTCATCACAGCATTCTTTGATTTAATCTGGTTTTATATTTTAATACTTGTTTAGTTTGATTTAATATTTGATGACATAGGAATATTTAAAATCTTTTTCCATATAAATTGTTTTTGTTATTTCAAATGGTCAGACACTCGAAAGTTAATGTATTCGTCGGGGATGGCCAATACACGTCGGTCATTTAGCCTTGCCATTCTCGAGAACGTTTCCCAAGGTGCAGTACAGGGGTAATCGATTTTACACGAGCAAGTACAGGAAAGTTTTGTTCCAATTTTGATGGAGAGCATCGAGGAGGGGACGGATCCGACAGTCTCCCACACCTTTTTCCTACCACCAAATCTTTCGAAAGGACTTTCAGCTCGCCACTGTTTTAACTAACCCTATGCTGCACAGACATCATATACTTGTAACATCTAAGCTGTTTCCGGGTTTCGAACCCAAGCCCAAGACTACAGCAGCCAAGAACGCTAACAGCCATACCGATAAGGTTGGTTCATGTTAAGTTAATGGTTATTGTTACTTTGATTATTTTAATGATAGTTTGACTTATGAAGATTGTTGAGTAGTGTAACGTCTTCTGTTTTGTCACGAACCGTTACATAAAAGTTGACCTTACTCTACATATTTATCATTAGTATCAGGTCACCTGTTTATTACTCATCATCAGACAACAATTGTTTTCAAGATTTAACTGAACTGCTTCAGTTATGAATATGACATGTTTTTCAATTGACCCGAAACACAACAATTCTAATCATGTCGTTAGAGTTTTCTAACACTGTTGTTTTCCGTATTGCGGATTAATCTTACGAATATCGTCATTTCAGAGATTTTCGCCATATCAAATGCATTACAAACGTTTTTAGCTTTTTCATATAATCTGTGGAGTGTTTTTGTATATGTATGCATGTAAAATAATTTCCTAACTTTTGCAGGCAACTTAAGAAGCATAATGCTCTTTTAATATTTCTAAAGTATTTGAGGTCAGATATTGCTTTTTGTTACACAGTTATAAAGGTTGTAGGGTCTTACTTTATTTTTCTACTAGTTATATTTATTCTAGAAATAGCTTTCCTTTACTTCCTCATATTACTACCTATGTTTTCCTGCCAGAATGAGTTTTCAGATTTACACTTTATGCAAATAGGTTAGAAAATCCTATTTAAGCTGAAGTCTGAGCTACTTTAGTTAGAGAGAGAGAGTGTGTTCTGCCTTTTGGCCACCGAGTTAGGCTGCCGAGTTAGAGCTTGCTAGTTTAAGGCTCTGCTTATAACGTGCCTGCTAGTCTACACCGGTGACTTTAGTCAACAGCCAACTACGTAGTAAATAACCCTGTATAGATTAGGCTGTTTATTCTACTTAGCATTAGTTTAATTTTCTATTTTCTATTTTAAGTTCAAACCAAAGGTTCCGGCTTCCTGTACGCCCAAGTGAGGCCGTCTGTGACTATATTTGAGTTAAAATGAAAGGGTATTTTAATTCTTCTTCGGAGTTGTTATTTACGTACCAGAATTTAGCAAACAATCGATACACAATTCTATTAGGTTCTAGTAGTTGAATAACTTTAGCTAGAACACTACAAACTGTTTGTTAGTTTCAACATTTAAATTGAGCACAGCGTTCTCCTTATACTGTTACGATATGTACTAGGATTAAAACATATGTATTTTACTCTTTAAAATAAATTCTAATTTAACATCCACGGCTTCTTCCTCAGAACAAAGTACGAATATACATATGAGCAGAAAATATGCTAGTTATGTCCTTGATAACTGAAAGACAAGAGACAAAAGAAGACAAAAGAAAGTTATTCAAAATGATTTTAGCAATAATATTTTGATGGAATTATTTAGTTCTTGATTATTTGCTAATGGTTGTTTGGTTTATTTAATTATAGCAAAGCACACTAGGGCTATCTGCCTAAGGGGAGGGATGCTTTCATGGAGGACTTTCTAAGGGAAACTGGCTCGTATGCACGTTACAAATGGGGAAAACCACGAAAACGCCCATTCAGCCAGCCCGTTCGCGGAATTCGAACCTCGGACCGAACTACCAGGGTTCAGCGACTTTACCGCTTGGCCGCTTGTGGGCTCTATTTGCTAATGGAAGAGAAAACAGATATTCATTAATTATTTCTTCACTTTCTACAACTAAGAAATAAAATTGCATTTCTGTGTCTATTAAGTTATTAGTAATATGCTTGTTTAGAAATACTTAAATTTCAAATCTTCCTTGAAGCTATTTCCATTAAAAAAATGGATCAAAGGAAGATTTCTTTTGTGTATTTTATTACCATCTCCAAAATAATCTTTTACGAAATACGTTCTTAGACGGAATCATTTTCTAATTAAGAAAAAAAAAAAAAAAAAAACTTCTCAGCTAATATCAGAAGTTTCATCTAGAATAAAGTAGGATATCTGAAAGGAAATTTAATTAATTTAATAATTAAATATGTCTATTCTTGCCTATTATCTAATTCTTTGCATTTCTCTTTTCAGACATTCTACATCGTGGTGGTAACTGCCGGTTCATTTCATCTCCACACCCTATTTAATATACCAGGTAAGTTTAAACAAAGTAATTAGTAGTAGCTAATAAAATTCTAGCTAAATTTTATGCTTGATCAGAACTTAGTTTGCTGATGTATATATCTCTGAGGTTTTCCATTTAATTAATAGTCAGATAAAAATACAGGAAGCCCACAGGGTGTTTCCTCTCCATGTTTATTTAAACATGTTTTATTTTAAGCTGAGAATAATTTTGATATATGAATTGAATTCAAATATTAGTGTAAATTATTAACAGAGGAAATATGATAAAAATTTTGCACTTCTATATTTGACGTCCTTTTCTTTATTTCAGAAAATACCCTTTCCTTTATACTTCCTTGTAAGAAGTAAAGGAAGTAGTAATTTCGAAAAATATAAGGAATCATATTTCAAAGGAAATACCCATTTTTATCATTTCCGTGTCGATCTGGACGAATTGATTTTCATGACGACTAGATATCCAAAACAGATTGTAACATGGATTTAAAATGGATTCAAAAGAGACTTTTAGACTTTTTCGTGTATTTCGTATATAAACATTCTGAAACGTATGTATACATGTCACGAAGCGTATGTATATACGTATGTATCTTGTATTACTCAAAAACGATTAACCATAGAACGTTGACATTTTGTATATGGGACTGCTAAATCATATAGTTCTGCTCCTTTCTTGTTTATATTTTTATTGAATTTGGCAGTAACAAATATATATATTTTAATTTTACATAGTAAATATTTTGTACGAGGAAGAGATTATACTATCTTGGAAAAAAAATCTATTGTAAAAGAAAATTTTTTTAGCGAAAAATCAAGAATGAGTCTAAGCCTTTAAAATAAAATTAAAAATAAGCTTTAATATTTTTAAAAAATTAAAATCTTAGACGAAAATCAATCAGTAACGTAATTATCCACTGTTTAATGTTCCGATTAGACTCACCAGGGGCTGATTAATTAAACATTAAACAACAACTGTTAAGGAGTTCTGAATACCTGTTTCATAATTTTTTCATAATTTGAGTGAAAAATTAAACTAACAAACAGGCATTTTTAAAAATAAATAAAACCACATACCCGCCCCCTTACCCGACTTTTAGAAGTACTTACCATGACTTTACTTTCGCAGTCGATGGTCGTAATCATATGCTTCCATTTACAGAAGTGTTTCAAATGACGAAAATATTCGTTTTGGCAATAGCAAATTAAATATATATATATATACAGGGTGATTATAATTAAAGTTTAAGTTTCAAAACGCTATAAAAAAAGAACCACTGATGAAAATGATGTGAAATTTGAAAGGAATGTTATTGAAAAAGGCGGAAAGCATATGGCAGAAGAAAAATTTTAGTTTCAAAAGTTAGCAACAGATGGCGCTGTAAGCGGCAGAATCACGACGAGAAACGAGAAATGATTCGTAAAACAATGGCTAAGGTGGAAGTTACACATTAAAACGCATTGAGAAATTAGAATTGTTGAATAATTTTATTTGCATGACTCTACATATCACATCGAAAGGGACAAATCGGTTTCAAGAGTTTGCGGCGACATACCGCATAAGAACCATTCATCAAAGAAGTTCGGAACTGTCGCGAGACTGGCGCAAAACATGTTCAATGTGGTGTCCACCGTTGTGTGCAACAAGTTGAAAGTGACAAACAGCATGTTTCCACAACGGATCGCAGTGTCTCCGGGGTGATGTTCAGAATGTGTTGCGAAATGCGTGCCTTTAATTCCGCTAAATTTGCAATTGGAGCACGGAACACATCATCCTTCAGATACTCCCACAGCCAGAAATCACACGGAGTAAGATCAGGCGATCGGGATGGCCAGGATGTAGGGAAATGACGGCTGATAATTCGAGCATTTCCGAAATGGCACCTCACAGCAGCTGCTTCATGGGATGTGCAATGTGCGGAGGAGCGCCATCGTGCATAAAAATTATTTCATCCACACATCCACGCTGTTGCAGAGCTGGAATCAGATGGTTGCACAAAAGAGACGCATACCTCTGACCAGTGACGGTTGCGGTAACAGGATCCGGAAGCACCCGTCTGCTCGAAAAAATATGGCTGTAGGACGAATGATGCCGTAAAGCCGCACCACACCATGACCGTGACCCTTTCAGGATGAAGTGGTACGGGGTGCGGTTGCCAGTGGATTTTCTGTTGCCCATATTCGACACAATTCTGGGTATTCACGTATGCCCTGTCAGATGGAAATGGACTTCATCTGTCCACAAAATTTTCCACGGCCATTCATTATCCACTTCCATGCGAGCCAGGAATTCTAACGCAAACGTCTCCCTTAGCTGTCCAGGTCAGACGGAAGCAACTTCCTGCACATGGCCAAATTTTGTACGGATAGCATTGCAGGAATGTTTCGCATACAATTTGCAGCACTGTGCTCGTAGGCCTGTCCAATGTTCGGGCACAATTCCTCGTACACTGCACGCTTGCACACCACCGCCGGCCGACCCCTCCTGTAATGCTGTGGCCACTTCTTCAACTACCGTCGAATGCACTCGTTTTCTCCCTCTACCAGATTGCACATCAAACGAAACCTGTCGTTTTCGAATTTTTGCATCATTTTCTTTAGATTCCTACGAACACTCATTGGACCAACGCCTTCTTTTATACCCTTCAGTGTCCTGAATTTTTGCAGAGCTACTCTTGCACAATCATCATTCACTTGTAGTAATACAGCTTTACCAGCAGAGCGCGGTCCTGCAGTGAAAACACCCATGGCGAATGTCTGAGATGCGAAATGAGGAACAGCCTGGCACCTGGTGGCTTTTATAACACTGAAATTTAACTAACATTTTAATTTAAGTCTTATTTCGCTTGCAGCGCCATCTGTTGCTAACTTTTGAAACTAAATTTTTTCTTCTGCCATACGCTTTCCGCCTTCTTCAATAACATTCCTTTCAAATTTGACGTCATTTTCATGAGTGGTTCTTTTTTTATAGCGGTTTGAAACTTAAACTTTAATTATAATCACCCTGTATATTCGACAAATAGGGAAATCTAACTTTTAATGCGGTTATTATGTTTAGGAATTTTATGTTTATGCGGATATTTATGTTTAGGAAGGTTTTCATACTCGTTAGAAAATTTAAAGTGATAAGAAGTGCGACTTCCGTACGACAAAATTTGACCGGTATATTTCATTTCAGAAATTTTAGATATAATTTTCAACTTTCCTTAGGGGATCTGTTAATATGTTCGAATAAGTTTAAACGAAGTGCAGCTAAACATGTGTATAATTTAATAGCACGTACGAGGAAGTTATGTGGTGTTCACATCTAATTTTTTGGTATTGTGAGCCAAGTCTAAAAAAGTGAAACTTGTAAACCTGATTTTTTAGAAAGTTGAATGCATCTACGTATAAAAGAAAATATCTGCTATTTAAATCTATTGATGAAAATTTCTAAATATATTTGTATTGCATCTGATGTGACGCCAAATTACCAAAATATAATACTAAGATGAAGACGAATTGATTTTAATGTACATATTTTGCTATTACTTATGCTGTTCCTGATAAGTTATTGCAGGTCAGGATTTGCAACGTTAAATTTAAAATCTGAGCAATATTCTTAATGACGAAATGGTACTGCAAGCAATATTTATAATAAATTAGATACCGTACAACTTCGTTATCGAAACGAAAAAAATACTGTATTTCTACTCCATTATCCAAAAGCTTGTTAACTTCTTAAAATGATGAAGAATCAAATTTATAAATGGACATGGATTTCCGTAAGTATGTATATATGGGATTTAATGCTGTTAACAGTCATAAAATAATAGTGATCTTTATTAAATATGAGGAGAATTCTTTTGTCTGTGCAAAATGAGAATTTTCAACGGCAAACGGGTTGGCTGCATTGGCGGTTTTGTGGTTTTCCCCATGTGTAACGTGTATACGAGCCGATTTCCATTAGAAAGTCCTCCACGAAGACATACCTTACCTTAGGTAGATAGCCCTCGAGTGCTTTGCCATAATTAAATAAATCAACCACGGGTTTTAAACGGGATTTAGCAAAAGTATGAAAACAACTCTTTTATGCATTTTCTTCAAAGAAACGGAGTTCTTTAAAGTCAGAATTTTTAGATGGAAAAGTTTTAAAAGTATTGCAGTTAAGATGGTTGCGGGATCATTTGATGTGTTCTTTTATGCGACTGTTAGATTGAACATCAGATGAAACAATATTTTATTTTACTTTTTTCTCGTAAAACATACTTTGATAAAAAGTTATATTTATACATAATAATTATATGTTACTGAATAGTATTATTATAGTATATTATTGAACTTTAACACACGAATGTATCTTTGCATTATAGCGTAACGCAAATGTTATATTACTATTACATTTTTAACTCTCCTTCCTTTGTGAGCTAACATTTTATCCTATTGTATACCTGAAAATTTCTTTGGCAACAGAATAATCACTAAGCTGCATTCAAACAGATAAGCAACAAAGGCCAATTAGTAAATCTTCATCATTTTCCAATCCATATCCAACGATGCTTTTATCCTTTTTAATTAAATAATTAGCTGATCATTGCTATTTCTAAATTGTTGTGTTTCTTATCAGGCTACTATAACGTACGCTGGATGTATTTAGATCTACGCTTCTTCGTTTATTGTGTCGTGATGATTTGAAGTCAGGGTTTTTAAAATAACTTTCTTAGTTTTAAAATAGAATTTACGCTAATTTATCGAAATAATATCTCTTAATATTTCACTCTGATATGTGTTCTAACACTTTAAGCAACGCAATAAAAATATTATACTTGTTCGTTATTTAAAAATGACGAGTTTAGTTTGTTATTTAAAAATTTATTAAAGCTACAATTGTCACGAACTGGAAAAAGAAACAGCTTGTTCTATCGAAAAACGTGGCTTAAAAAGATAAGGTTACACTTACTATACATTACTATATGTGGTGACGCTTTGGAAAATGTGTGTTTTTAAGATTTGATTGCGCATAACTTGGTTTCTTTT